TAAATCCAGATTTTCATACAAAAATTCAGAATTGTAACTTCTCAATATTAACCAATATGGGAAGGTAGAAATTTTAAAAAATTAATAGAAAAATTAAAAAAACTCCAAATTAAAATAAATAAAATTGATTAATTATACACACACACACACACAAAAAAAAAAAAAAAAAAAAAAAAAAAAAAAGGCTAAAATAGAATTATTAGCATTTCTGATAGTTTTTGAAAACTGTTTTCAATTATAGTTCTGGGTTCACTTGTGTTATTTTGTGCAGTAATATTTACTTTGCTTATTATTTTTTTTCATTATATTGTTATTTATCTGTTTTAGCTTATTGACTGGATTCATCAGCCGTATTGATGTTAATAGGCATAATGTTTTTATTTTCTTAGTAAGATTATTCAGTTTTCTTATTTATTAGACAGACTTAAAAAAAATAAGGAGAAATTGTAATACGGAGTTTTAGATTACAAGAACTTTTGTTACGGTGATATAGTAAAAATATATGAAAATTAAGTATCTTTATGAGCTCCGTTCAAATAACTGAAATTAAATTAGGCATCCGATTAGATCAAACTTATTTAATATAATTAAATAAATTATTTGGGATTTGCGCGTAACGTAACCTTCCAAAGATATCTTTAGGTTTCAAACATTTTTTTTAAAAGAAACTTTTTACATTAAAAACAATCATAATTTAGAAGATCTAGATTCAAATTATCTTTTGTAAAAACCTAAAATTCTAAATTTTAAATTAATTAAATTAATAGCATTTTTCTTATTGGTAAAATTTGAATAGAATAAAAGAATTTTCCACCAAACTTTCATATTCCAGACATTTCTGTTTGCTGGTCATAAAAATATTTGGTAGAAGAAGAAATACAATTTTTTGATTGCAACTTCATTCATTTATATAAAAAAAATAAATTCCATGTAGTTTCAATAAATGATGCAACATGGCAAAAAAGAAATATATTTAAAAGTCTTTCCTATTTGATTTATTTCTTAAACCAGAATCAGGGTTCGTTAAACATCCAAGAGATAACAACTGGACAGTTTTTTTATTACTCACCTGTACAGTAAGGTAATTTATAACTCATTTTTAAAAATAAATTACACGTCTTTAATTTTATTTTAGATAATTTATACCTTACAAAACGTCTTCGGTATACACACTGAAATATGTTACGCCTCTATGTTTTTTCCTTTCAAACTCTTTAAAAAATACGAACTTGCTTTAAGTATGAAAGGGTCTTATATTCATTGTTGTCTTATATTCATTCCGGGTTCGAATTTCAGAGACGGCATGGATGTTTGTAAATGTATAGTGTTTGTGCGGCATTTGAGTACTCTAAATATGCGCCGAGCCGAAAATCCTCTCAAAAGCATGGTGGCAGGGAAAGAGGGGTGGGAGATCTTCGGACCCGTCCCTCCCTCCATCGAAATTAGGGGTGAACCTGAGCAAAAATATATGTCACTTGTATAGTGCTCAAGGTTCTTGCCAACGACAGGTGCAATCTTGCATACTTAGCCACGATGAATTTTGTGGGCTTGGGTTGATGTCACTGTCAGACAACTGAGATCAGTCACAATAACACATTCATTGTATTATATTTAGAGTTGCCTTTCAATTTTTATATCGATAAAAAAGGCATAAGGAATCATTAATGCTGGCGCAATCGTGTCACGTATGTTTGCTATCTTCGTAGTTATTGTAGAAATTAGTATATAAATACATCAGAGTATATTTCTATATTTTATGTAAATAGATTTTTAAATAGAGACAACATAGTATAATTAAATTGCGTCTGATTCTAGGAGTATCTTGAAAACGTTTTAAATTATCTGAATTGAAAAAAACAAATGTTTTCTGGTTTCAAGTTGAATTTTCCTCCTTTCACATGCCTTTTAATATATAGACCGATAATTCCATTCTCTGATTGGCTTAAAAATAAGATTATTCTCTAACAATCGAAAGGAAATTTTGCACTTTATACAAAGACATCTTCAGAAAAATATTTTGATCTATCCAATTCGTTTATTAAATCAATCAAAGAAAAGCGCATAAGGGATATTTTTGATATATATCGAAAGGAATCTTTTGGAGTTTTTCGGAAATTTATTTCTAAAGCATTAACTTAATCTTTTATGCTACATATATCGATATATAAAAATAGAAAAATAATAGACGTCTGTTATATATACATATTAATTATACATTTCTCAATTTTGCAATTCAAATGCTTGTTGAAATTAGGCATCAATATTAACAAAACCAAGCTTAACAAAATAGCCTCATATCATTTAAGGCAGCTCTAGTACTGAGGCGGTATCGCTAACATCTTTACATAAGGAAACAGAATCAAGTATGATTCGTTAAAATGTTACAAAACAAATCAGATTCGGAGCAGAAAAGGGCTGCAAAATATTCGCTAGCTTTTGGTTAGAATGATAGGACTGATGGATTATTTATGCAAAGTGAGCAAGGGCAATCTGCCTAAAGGTGGGGGGAGGTTCGTGAAATACTTTCTAAAGAAAACTGACGCATATTCAGGTTCTAACTAAGAGTTGAAACCTACAGTTCAGGTCTGTAATGTATAATAAGAATTATAATTATTTTTAAATAGGTATGATCTCTTAAAAGCTTTCATCAGTAAAATTTCGGAATTTCATAATGAAAATATTCGGAAATGAATAAAATTTCTGTAAATATAAGTATATTGCAGATAACCTTGTGAAGCTTGTACAGTAATAATATAAACAAACACAGTGTAAAGTTAAATAAAAATAATCTTAAATTTTTTATAAGTAAACTGGTGACGAATTAAAATTATTTATAATTTTTATAACAACGGAAAGAAGAAAGCAAATGCGAGCTAAATAGAATTTAAGTAGCAGTTTCTGTTTCAACAGTGTTTGCATTATACTAAATGTAGGCTAGTATATAACATGTATCTGGAAAGTTCAGAGAAAATAACTCCAATAATGTTAGTTTAATTTGCCATTAATGATATCTGTTTTTATTGAGTCTTTCTTCTAATAAATTGGCACAAGTTTAAAAACTGAAGTACATTAAAGAAAAAAATAACACATATATTTTTGTTACTTATAAATAGGCAAAATGTATCACCATTATGTTAAGTTTAATAATCCGTATTGTTACAAAGAAAGTTTAAATTAGATACTGACTAGCAGAAGGTACGTAGAAATGAGCAATATAAAAGAAGCAAAAATACATTGCATTACTTCTTTGTCGGGATTATGATTGGCATAAAAAAATTAGGACCACATTAACTGTTGATTAAGATTTCATGATTTCCACTTATATGAAGAGTATTTTCACATTAGGATCTTTATTTTCAAAGAGGCTGATAATTCAACAAGCGGATACTGGAATAAATATCCTCGAAATGCATTGGATAAAAATTTCGAAAATAAGTTTAATTGCTTAATTATGTACTTCTTTAGATATAAGAAATAGTTAATGTTATGTCATCGATTAAAGTAAACTGTTTGTAACTGTACTAAATCGTAGAAGTTTCGAGCTCTGAAGTTTGTAATATATTTTAATGTAAATCTTGCAAAATATGTTTTTTTTTTTTTTTTTCGGTTTTACAATATTTGGTAATTTAAATCTGTGTTTAAGGCCTGTCAAAATTAAAGAAAGTAGCTATGAATGTATAAGAGTGAAACTGTAATCTTATGTATTTTAATCATACAGTTTTAGATTTAATTAAGTACTGATATGAAGATAGGAACAATTGGTGGAAATGAAAATTGTAAAATTAAATAGTAAACAGATGTCATAGTAAACAGTAATGATATGGAATAATATAATTAATAACAAACAGTAATAAAATGATTTAATAAACTATATACTATATCACGGTTATTTTAAACCTCGATATAGTATTTTATTATTCATAAGTGATTGAATTTAAGTGTTTTCGTGAATTTTGATTATTCATAACTGATTGAATTTAAGTGGTATAAGTGAATTTTGATTATTCATAAGTGATTGAATAAGGGATTGAATTGATATAGTATTTTGATTATTTTATTATTCATAAGCGTTGCAAAGTTTGTGTTTTAAATAGAATTAAAAAGGACATTTTAATGCCTAAGCTTCTTGTTGTTTATTTTTTATTATATATAAATGGGGAATATAATACGATACGCATGAATACCCAAAATAAGTAAATAACTAAATAAGGACATATTAATGCAGTTTAGGAATATTAATTTGTGTTTTGAAATATAAGATCTTGTTATGAAAATTTCATAGAAATTTCAGTCTTCATAGATATTCTTCAGTTTTACGTAAAAATAGGAAATTCAATGCATTATTCTAAACTGTCAAGAAAAAATAAAATTTTGAAATGATAAATCTAATTTAGAAATATCAGCTATGTGAAGAATATGAGATAAAGGTAACACAGATATGAGGATAATGAGAAATAACTCAGGACACACTAATACCAAACATTATATACTAACATCAAATTTACGTTTAGATTATTATTATCAAAAGAATTTTCCCTTCGAACACTGTTCAGTCTCAATTAGATAATGGTTTTTTAGAAACTATCAGTAATTAGAAGCAACACCTTTCGAAATGTTTCATTAGAATCTAAAGATGACATTCACTTGACCAAGACATTCAAAATATTCAAATTATTTTGTTTTGAAAGCTACCCTTTCCACATATTATGATTACAGAAATAGGAAATCGATAATTTTAACAGATGTATCTAAAGTTTATAATTTTAATGCATCCTCAAACCACTCTTTTTTTCGAGTACTTAATTAAATCCTTTTTTTTTTCATATGACGTATCAAAAATACGAAACATAGAAAAGACAAAGAAAACATTTCGTTTTACGATGAACAAATTCCTTATCTTAAACATAATAACGAAACTAGGACCTCAAAATCAGATGCAGTTACAATTTACTTACTGAAGTTAGGCGTTAGTTCAATAAAGAAAAGTGGTAATTATTTACCTTTTGCAAGCAATATCAATTGCTACTTTGAAAGGAAGCTGAGTTCCTGAAGGTGCTCTTGCCGAGGAGCTTTAGCTTAATAAATTATTATCGGTCTTGCGCATGTACTCATGTGACCTACCTGTGGCAGATACATTCTAGGGCAAAGTTTTCTGATAATTCGGATCTGATAGATTAAACGTAATCATTCGGAATGCCTACTAAGTTTGCTTTCCTTTTTTTTGCTTCAACCTTAAACACGAGCGAGTACTATATTAGGTACAATGTTCATATGAATAAAAAAGAATATCGATTTTGTTCTAAAAATCTCTCTAAAAATATACATGACTAATAAGCACATTTTTGAATTGCATTATTCAGATAAAGCATAAAGATCAGTTCCAAATATAACTTTCATTTTTTAAGCGTTGAAAACAAAATAGATAACTGATATTCAACGTTGCTCTGATTCACTATTTTATTGATTTATAATAATAAGAGTTCAAATAGAAGGCAATTAGCATAAAATTTGATTACAGAGCACTCTATATAGCAATTGTGTAGCTTGGTCTTCAAATTTGTGAGTAAATTCTCTGTTAAATGCAGATGAATATTTAGGAGAATCAAATGCAGTATTTCAGAATTAATTTTCTTATTCATATTTTACTTAAAGTAAATTTTATTTCACTATTAGTCAAAGTGTAAAATATTTTTTTTCCGTTAGAGTAAACATTAGTGAAAACCGGCAATTCGACACATAACGTTTCGATCCATCCGATAATCCGTCACACGTGCTCCTTGCGTACGTGCCGTTAGAGGACGCCACAAGCGTTTTATTAGGAATATTGATTCAATGATGAACTTGGAATTACTGAATACAATTCAATATTGTTATAATGAATCCACAAGCCGCACTTTCAGAAAACGAAATTATTGAATAAATTGTAGGTAACGAAAGTGAGACATTTATGGGAGATTTAAGGGATTTTATCGTAATTTAAAATTTGTTCCACAGAAGTTCCACGAGTTCCGAAAAAGGGTAAATATAAGTAAAGAGTTAACAAGGAAAACATTAAACTTGCAGCTAAAATATTAAATACGTTAGTAAAATATGCATAAGATTATCAAACACTATAGCACTGGATAAGCCGCCCAAACAGTAGGATAGTGAAGCCTGACTGCGATACCAAAGGGCCCAGGTTCGAATGTTGGAGAAGCCATGGATGTAAAATTGTTTCACCCTTCGTAGGAGGTAACGATGGAAACAATAAAATGGCCACCACTTATGGCCCAGGAGTGGCCAGTACCGTTATAGGCAAGTGCCAGCCATTGGGGAAAATAAATAGGCACTGGACAACTAAATGAATTTGCTTATTCTTTCTAGTGCCCCAAGAAGGGGGATAAGAAAGTTGAATTTATCAGGCTGGGGAGCATTTGATTTCTGTTTGAGGAAGTTTCATGATCCCCCCCCCTAAAAAACAGATTCCGGAACATAAATCGATTAAGAATACTAAATTATGTATATTTTATCGCTCATTTGTTAGTATGTGATCAATAATTGAGTAACTTTTAGAATTACTATACATACAGTTTCTTTTATGTTTTACTCTTACAATATAAAAATTTACCTTTGAAAAATAATTTTTGTAAGGCATATAGTCCAATTATTCGGCATTACTCTTGTAGTCTCATAATCTGGAATATTTGATAATACTTAATACTGAGTCCCAATCGAGCCGGATTTTTAGAATAATAGTGTACTCTGATATTCAATAAAATTAAGACATAATTATTTATTAAATAAGAAAATTTATTTCAGTGTCATATTGAAATTAAACAATATTCAAAATGATTTTGTGCTGGACATTCTGTTTTGTTATTGCACACATTTTCTAATGAGATTAATTGCTGAATGGTTAACTTTTCATTTTGAATTTTTATATAGAAAATTAAAATAGTAGTGTAAGTTTTTATGATAGTGAATCAATGCTTAATTTTAAAAACAAAGTTCATGGATACAGATATATTTTGACAAAAATTCTACAAGAATTCCTTTAATTTATAATACGTATCCCTAACAGTGTTGCGAGATCGTGCTATTTTTCGGAAATTTGCAATTTTTGACAAACTTGTGCTACTACAGTTTAGTATTTGCGATTTTGCGAAATTTTTTGCGACATCCATCATTTTCTTATGCTAGATTTTACGACTTCAAAGATTTTTTTTAATATATCGTAAAATACTTTGATGTTAAAATAATGTATCAACTAAAAATAATTTATATAAAAAAATCTGATGTGTACACCACATGACTTCTTTGTACGGAATATTAAATTATGCCCATTTTTTCTTGCATTTCATTTAAACTTATTGGCTTAAACTACAATAGAATAAATGCACTCTTTAAAATTCACTATATTTGTTTACCCTAGCGACACACTGGCGCTAAGTTCACTTAACAGCGTTATATTTTGTTCACATTATAACGGAATCGAAATCGAGTCAATGGCTAGGCGGCAATTAGTAGCCAACCGCTACTTTAACCGTCTCTTTTGGTAAATTGCCCTAAGGCGTTGGTACTTAAGTTTTTAATTAAGGCGATTTACGCCGCGCCAACTAGGCGAAACTTGTCAAATTTTGTGAAATGTAGGTGGAGTGGAAGGAGATAATTGGCAGGAGCCTGTCACGTGGGTGGTCACCCACCCAAGTTCAGACTCTGAGCAAAGCAGCTTATGCGTGCAATGAGAAATATTGGATATATTAATAATTATCAAGTTTTGAAACAGGTTATCCAGATTGGAATAATTAAACTAATATCGCGATCTAAATGAAGACAAATGGCACAACTAAGTGCAAAAGATTAGCTAAACAAAATATTCAAATTCATCCTTGCTGTAAAACACAGATTGGACAGTGGTAGTCACGTGGGGGTCACCCTCCCGTGAACTGTCCACAGCCAATGCATCTTGAAATAGTAGATATCACAACTCAGTGAAGTCTTGGTCTGAGAAATTAAACACTAAAGTTCTTGTACAACACTGAGGCACATGAGTTACTGAAACTATACACTATGTACATATAGGGACGACGGTATTTGAGCGAAGTAGCAAATGGTGACAAACATTTTACACTAGCAATAAATAATCAGAGTTTTGAAGATTCAGGTACACGGATCATGTCCATAAGTCCACAATATTACAAAGTCTCTGATATAACAATAAGAAGATTACGAAAATGACAAATATAAGATCAGTGCTTTGAAGATCCAGGTACACGGATCATGTCCACAAGTCTATAAAGTTTCAAAGACACTGGTAAAATGACACAATGAAGATAAAATAAAGATAATAGTACTATGTACAATATATACACATTTCACCATTTGCTGTTATGGAAGATGCCTCTTGGGCGCTTTGCTGCAATTTCTGTAGTAGAATCATAATTTATCAGATTACGGATATGTTCGTATTGAGAAAGTTCTATTTTGGCATAGAAATTGTGGCTCGTGGTGAGAATTTGATCAGCTATGGGTCTTATTTTTAGTTCTTTATGTATCTGCAGGTTACGTACGAACCATGGGGAGTCAACAATTTGTCTGAGTATTTTGTTCTGAAAGACCTGTAGTTTGTGTCTATAAGTCTTGTACACAGTGGCCCAGATAGACACTGCATAAAGTAGGGTGGGTCTTATTAAGCTGGTATAGATCTTCTTCTTGAGACTGATATTTAATTTTGCATTTCTTCTTATTAAAGGGTAAAGAGACATTTTAGCAGCGGTGGCTTTGCGCAAGGCATACTCCGTGTGTTCTTTGAATAACAGCTGTGAGTCGAAGACCACTCCTAGATACTTAGTACTTGAAAAAATTGCTAGGGCTTGATCATTAATTTTTATATTTACATTCACAGGAGCGAACTTCCGATGAAGTCTGAAAAGGAGAATTTGGCTCTTTGACGGATTTAATTTTAATTTCCATGAATCATAATAGTGTGCTATGATATTTACTCCGCTTTCAAGTTTATATATAGCGAGCTGAGGTTTTAGCGACTTGGTTAAAATTGCTGTGTCGTCGGCATATTTCACTACTTTTGCATTCAAAGGAACCGGCATATCATTCATGTAGATATTAAACATAAGCGGTCTCAGAACGCTTCCTTGAGCCACTCCGCTTTTAATTCTTTTTCTTGAAGAGAGAGAGTCATTAATTTTTACCTGAAAGGTCCTGTTTTTAAGCACATTATAACTCAGAATGTACAAAATTTATATCATTTGAAGAATAATCTAATCGTTGCCACATGTTCTATTCAAATACTATAATAAATCTAGAACGATGTATAAAAGAAATTAAGTAAACAAAACAAAAAAGAAACAGTTTTTCACAGACGATTCAGTATTTCTCATTCAATTAATTCAGTTCTCACTTCGCGACAAGGCAAAAATGCATAAAAACTCAAAATATGTATATTAAAAATTACGAAGTAAATCTTAAACACTTATTTCCTCGAAAAAATTCCAGAAAGGATTAAGCATGATTTAATTCCCAATAATAAATGAAGATGTTATCTTTGTAGTCGCGAAGCTTAGTCTCTCTAGATTGGCAACAAATCTACTATTCTGCGGTTTCAAATGTAAATGTCCGCCATGTTATTTAAAATTTAGGCTTAACCGCACTTAAACAGCTTTTAAGTTGTTGATAATTCTACAAATATTGCTTCCAGATTTCCTAAAGGCATAAAAACCTTAACCGGAAGATAAGAACAACATAATTCAATAATTTTTAAAGCAAAAAATACACAATTTACAAACATATAAGAAACTGAGATCACTGAGCCGGGTAACAGAGTGGATGTATATATAAATATATTTATATACGTTTGGTGCGGCCGATTGCAACCAAAATACGAGGTGCACATCTACATGTTATAGCAGTCCTATATATAAAATTTCAACGTTCTGAGGCTACTCGTTTTGAGTTATGAGATATACATACGTAACAGTCACCATGAAAAATTCTCTTCAGAAATCATTTTAAAGCAGTTTTATAATTTTTTTGGAGGAAAAAGAGTCTTTTATTCTGTCCTTACTTACAGATGTCATACAAAACATCGTTAAATTGCATCCAATAGCGGTCAAAATGGATATTTTCGTTGAAATATGCTGCCTGAAACGTTTCGCGATT